GTGATATAAAGCGGCACATAACTAAATTTGACACTGTCTTACTTCACTCAAACTGGAGCAGCTTACGACGAAAACACTGAAGCAAAATTCCAACAGACAGGAAAGTATTGAGTTGTGGGCCAAAAGCATCAAACATTTCGGGAATTTCGGACGCCATTTCCCCGCGCTACATCCGCAAAAATCCTCGCAGCATGTACGCGCGCGTGCTGCAGGTGATGGCGCAATTTGTTCTAAAAATAGAAAAATTGTCCCATATCATGGGGACAGCTCCAATACTAGAAATGGCGCGCGCTTACGGTCTCCATCCCCGATTATGGCTCCTGGTCAGACTCGAGTCGGCGAGCGAAGTGATATGACAAGACACGAACAAGTGAGCTCTCGCGCCCACAGGAACACTCATTCGCTGTTTTTTCGCCGCTCGTGCGTAAAATTAACGCGGGGTTGCCGGGACTTTAATATTATACCTACCAGCTTTTGGATATGTGGCAACAAAAATGTCATTTTGTCTAGCTAACAGCCGCGGAAATGTGTCGACCATTTCCTGTGTTGTTTCAGGGAACCAGGGCATCCCATGAATCAGTGGCATCTTAGGCTCCTCTTTCTTGTCGTCTGCCATCTATTATAAATACATCAACAACGTTAAGTTAATCCTTACAGCTGAACACTTTAGTAACGGTCGCACTCTACTATCTCAAGGGTCTATTCACAGAATGGCAGGGTCAGGCTCACCTTCGTTGCGTTTCCACGCTATTACCACTGAAAAAGCCTAGACTGTTAAATGGCCCGACAAATTTTTATCCATGAACGCGACTGCAAAATGGCGGTATAGACTACAAGGGGTTGGGACGAAACTCGAAAACCCCTTCTCGGAAAGGTCCTCGCCCGTGTCTTCCCAATCTCTTCCCAAAAGAATCACTCTCTAACTATTTAAGAAAAATAGCCCAATAGTTACAAAAGAATTTTAAAGCAGAAGGATACTACGCTTCGCTGTTGTCGTGAAAGCGTGAGGATTTGTTCCGACTTATTGAAATTGAAATGCAGAAGTGTTTCATGAGGAGGGAATTTGCCGATATTTCAATTCGTAAGCATAGAAAACCTAACATTAATATTTACCAGGTATTTACGATCGCAAGTCTTTCGAATTCTCTCCGCAGTGGAAAAACTTAGGCCCAGGTCAAACGTCGAACTTCACTTGAGACGAACTAAACTGAACAATTTAAGTTCATGATAAGTTCGACATTTGCCTCAACTGGGTTCGTCCGATTGGTCAATCTAAATTCGAGTTAAGATCGTTTGGTTCGACTGAAATCAAGTTGCAATTTAGTTTGTCTTATGTGAAGTTCAACGTTTGAACTGGGCCCTAGGAAGCGATAACTCGCTGAAGTCGCTCCAAATCAGCAGACAAAGTGAACAGAAAAAAGGCAATACACAGTGAAAGTGAGATAAAGCATTTCTATTAAGAGTTTTCTTTTATTTTTATCTCCTAAAACCGATTGTAAATATTCGTTTAAGTCATTTAATTTTGCCGTGACCGCTATTATGCAAGATTATAATCGCTCCCAGCTTGAGCTTGGGCTGCCTGTGGTGAGAACTACCTTACGGTACCTTCTTGCTATGTACCGGCTTGCCTATGATGGCATACGCAGCAGTTTAGGTTTAGTAATCGAACGATTAGACGATTTGCTTAGAGACTTGCATAAATACAGATGTTTTGGTAGCCTGCGAGCGTGCTCTCGTGCGCTGCGGCAAGAGCAGCAAAGCCGCGAGAGATCGGACAAGCTAGTATCCATCAGCAGCTTGATTCGCTCACAGACTCCTCTCCCAGCTTCGCCTCTCGTGTTGCAGCGCATGAGAGCTTAGCAAAACACAATCCACTATCCCGCCTTGGTTTACATTCCGGTTGCTCTACTATTCATGCCCTGCAGCCAGGTTAACCAAGGTGTTTTCCCAGGTGCATGAGTTGCCGGAAATCTGAGCCGAGATGGACAAGTAGCAACATCGGGAGGGAAGGGGAGGGGGGACTCCCTTATTTGGCCAATATAGGAACGTGCCTCTGCCGCAGGGTATGGTTTTTGGCCTGACTGTCCTGAACGGGATGTACAATTTTACAACCATCAGTCCTAGTCAGAGTCAAAACTTGTCCTAAACAGGGTACCGTAAAATCCCACGTAAAAGCCCCCCGGTTATAAGCCCCCCCCCGAATATAAGTCCTTCTATTCGCTAACAGAGATATTATTCCGGATATAAGCCCCCGGATATAAGCCCAACTAATGTATAAGTGCGTTCCCCTTGCCTTTCTATACAAAGATCAAAATTTTCAATCGAAAGTTATAGGCTAATAGGGTAATGAGGTAATAGCTCTAATTATATAGCTGGATCGAAATCCAATAGTGCCAACAGATCTATTTTTTAGTAATTTTTGCCAACTGTCCAAATTTAAAATAAATTGGATAGTTTTTGCTCGAACGTTTAGTTTAGCTTTGAACAAACTGTCCAATTTAAGAAAATCTGAATACTTCCATCAACCAATCAAATGTCAAGATAAATAAAAGAACCGAGTATTGTCCAATCAGGTTGCAGCTATCATCCTGCCATCAAACGTCAGCGAGCGACTGTAGCTCGCTAAGTTTTATCATGTTTTGATAATGGCGGAATTTCTCGACTTTTCTCTCCACCTTTTTGACGTCTCAAACTTTCAAATGGAGTCTTCAGCTGGGTTTCCAGAGATAGATGCTACTGATTTACTCGAGATGAGGAAGAGTAATCAGAACAAGAACACTTAAAGAAGCACAAAAACCTGGGTTAAAGCGTTTGACCTGTGGCGTGCTGTGCGAAGCGAAGTGAGAAAGCTTGAGGCTTGATATTTGCGTTGTTCATCTGTTTGAATGCTATATAATTAATAGGTATACGGCCGAGTCTAATTTGGCAGTCCTCAGAATTTTTCTCATCCAATTATTTCCAAATTGGACAGCTTGTAGTCCTATTACATATACATCGGTCTTGTTTCTTTGTGTTGGGTATCGTGATGACAAGAGTTGAAGTCACTGTGTCACATAGGGACTTCATGATCTTCATCTCTCGTCCTAAACCATATCACTCCTATACCCAAACATGGGTCAAGAAACCCCCTCCCGGGCCCCCTCCCCGGTCACACACTATCTAGAAATGTAATTTTAGAGAGTGATTATGTTTTCTTGGTTCTGAAAAAGGCCGCTGGCGCGTTTAACATTTGCAATGTGGGCCTGAAAAGGTAGGGCGACTATTTGAAAAAAAAAAAAAATGGAAAAACATTTCGTTTTAACTCTTGACATCGTAACGGTTAAGTTACAAAATATCACACTGATCGAACGGAAATACAATCTTTGATGACAAGGCTTGACGAGCATTGGTTAGCCTCTTGCATGGAAACACATTCTGCAATCATGCCGTGTGACAAATCCAAAAACAAAAGCCATGCAACGTTTACCATAAGTGTACCATGCAAGTGGTTTAAATCACGAAATAATTTTGGGGCCTTAATTTTTGTAATTACGTGAGCTTACACCCGGGGGGGCCCGGAGCTTACATTACAAAG